CGAGGTTCCCCCCCCCACCGAGTGAGCACGGCCCAACGCCCCTCCCCACTGTTATTGAGGGGGTTTTTGGTGCGGGGGAAAGGGGGGGGGGGGGCCCCGCAAGCCGTGCCTGGAGATGCGGAACATGGGCCAGCGAAGCGACCGCCTCTTACCAGCTGATGGGGCGATGGGGCGGGAACAGCCCGCGGGAAACCGACCGGGCAGGGGGGGGGGGGCGGCGTTTCTGGCCAGCCCTCCGGGTTCCCAGACGCGTCTGGTGACATCCTCACCAGCCTGCTGCGGAAGCCCAAAGCGGGGCTGCATTCTGGGAGCAGGCTGCAAAGCGCCTTCCAGATGGGCTTGGACTACAGGTCCCATCCCCCCAGGGCCCACAAGGTAAGCAAGTTGTGGCCGGGACGGGTCATTGGGGGGGAGAGAGAAGATGGGCCTCTGGCGGGTTGGTGCGGATGGCCAGAAACCTGATGCTCTCCAGATGCGCTCAATGGGCTCCTTCTGGCCTACAATATGCCTCCCCCAAAACCAGGGTCTCCAGATAGGTTGGACTACAACTTCCATCATCCCCAAACCATCCTGCCTGTTGAGAGTAAGGAGAGATGCGGCTTGTTCTGTCTGTACAGGATCTAGCTGGAGAAAGCTGGCTAGATTTTCCATCTTTAGAGAAGTCTGATTTGAATAAATATTCCCAGGATCTGATTTATTCTAGACAGTGTTTCTCAACCTTGGCAGCTTTAGATGTGTGGACTTCGATTCCCAGAATTCCCCAGCCAGCAATTTCTCCCCCAACAAGCAAAAGGAAGGATTTGTTTTAGCTTCATTCAAACACTGTGAAAAACGGGCTTGTTCTGCCTTTGGATTTCTGGATTACTCTGCGGCCACAGCAAATTTTTGCTAGGAGATTGGGTGTTTTATTCCTGGCTTTCTGGCTTGGATTTTCAGGTTTAGGGGTGAAATGTGTTGAAATGAAGCATCAAAGAAATTTATGTAAATGGATGTAGTTGGAATGGCACACCCAAGCTATTCATTCCTCTATTTCCTGGGGTTATCTCTTGCCTTCCTGGAAAGAGCTAAGGCATTTATTTATTTATTATTTATCATATTTATATAGCCGCCCATCTCACACAAGATGACTCTGGGCTGTGTGCAACAATTAAAAAAAATAAATACATAAAAACAACTGCATATAAAAAATAGTAAAAACACACAAAACAGGAAGGGATAAAATTAATAACGGAGCCATCATAAAATCTCCCTGGTCCCCTGAGACCTGACCCCATAGCCAAGTCTTGAGGGACTTGAGGAACGTCAAGAGGGATGGAACTAATCACCCTTCCGGGGGGAGAAGATACTACAAGGCGGGTGCCACGGCAGAGAAGGCCCACCTCCTGGGACCCGCCAATATTTTATCCGACAGATACTGAGAAAATTCCTCCACACATTTCTGCAGAAGGTTCTCCAAGCCATCCTTACCCAGGAGGGCTCATGTCACCCGAAACAGGGCTGCGGGGCGGCTATCTGCGGACACAATAAGAGTGGAGGACTAATGACGCTTCACCGCCCTTATCGCCACTAAGTAGGCACGAACAGCCGCTCTAACCCATGTTTGGTCGAGTTCATCCCTGGTCGAGCGCCAGCAACGCTCTAGATGTCTCTTCTCTCACTTCCTCTCCCTTAGCTCTTCTGTAAACCACAGAGAGTGCCGAGATCCCCGAGAGGAGGGAGGTCGCATGGGCCTGATCCGATCCGAAGCCTCAGCTGCCCCTTTATTCCAAGTGGGGACCAAGGCTTCAGACCCACAGGAACCACCCCCAGCTCCCTCTGGAACCCATCTGGGTCCATTAGTCACCCAAAGCTCCCCCAATTTCAGATCACATAGCCACTGCTCCAACAGGAACACCAGATCCGGTGTATGGCTACTGTTCCGTGTCAGGCTCTGGATGATTTGGGATAGGCCCATGGCCGTCGTGGTGGCCATGAACTCCCAAGCCCCCTCAGACCCCATCCTTAGAGAAGGCACATTGAAGTCCCCCAAGACCATAAGCCTGGGGGACTCCACTGCCAACCCAGAAATGGTGTCAAGGAGCTCAGGCAGGGACGTTGCTGTGCAGCAGGGAGGCCGGTACAACAGCAGCAGTCCCAACTGATCTCTAGAGCCCAACTTGATGAACAGGGTCTCACATCTGGGGACCTGTGGTGCAGCGCCCCGAAAGCTGCAAGAGATTCCCGGATGACAATCGCCACACCTCCAGACCTGCCCCGGACACTCGGCTGATGCCACACTCGAAACCTGGCTGGGCATAACTCTGCGAGGGCTGCCCCCCACTCCAAATCCAGCCAGGCCTCAGTGATGCATGCCAGGTCAGCCCTCTTAATCACGGATGAGGGATGCCTTATTACAGACTGACCTGGCGTTCAGAAGCAGCAGCCGGGGACCAGAGCCTCTGCAGGTCTGCTGATGGGGGACCGGACTCAGACCGAGGAGCTGGAACACGAAACCAGCAACAAACAGCGGTCCCGTGGTCCCCGGGAATGGCCTGCTCCCCGTCTCCCGCCATATCTTCCCTTACCCGTCACCACAATATTTTGGCCTGCCCCCATGCCCCCAACAGCAGCCCCATTCCTATATCAATGCCCCTCAATTCCCAGCACTGGGGAGCATCCACTTCCTTACCAGCCATACCTGGGAGGGGAGCTGGGCACCCTGATGCTCTTTAGCTTGCTAGCTCTCAGAGCCACCAGAGCCCAGCCCCCACTTCCTTCCCACAGCCTCACACACAAACACACACAGGGATCCCTCCCCTGCTGCTCCCCCCAGCGGGCAGTGGGCACCCTGCCCATTCACCCTTCATCCAAGCCCTCCTCCGACCCTCACTCAAAGAGAGGATCAACCCACTCACCCTCACCTCACTCAGCATCCAGGAGGCCCTACCCCACTGCTCCCACCCTCTGGCAGAGGCTCCAACCATTCGCCCTCCCACCAAGCCCACCTCTGGCTCTCACCCAGAGAAAGGCAGAAAGGGGAATAACCCAGTCCAGCTGCCAGGCACTGCACCATTAAATGGGAGTAGTGCTGTTTTCCTCCTCCTTCTTGGGAAGCAGAAAGGCCTCCGCAGGGGAGGGGGTCTACAGCTGTCTGCCACTCCACTGCAATCCCCACCTCGCCTAGCCCCCGCCCACCCCTCCAGAGCCCCAGCGTCCAGAAGACAGCCAGATGGTAACAGGCTACAGCCCCCCAGAGCTGCAAGACAGTCGGGCCGGCTCTCCCTTCCGCCCCCCAAAGAAACAGCTGGCGCGCTTCTCCAAAGCAGCGCGAAGAGGTCCCTCCGGTAGCAGCAGCGGACCCCTCCA